TGGTCAAATGAAATCGTAGGCTTCCACGGCCAGAGTCAGAATTATAGTTTATTCGTCTTCCGGGTTTGGACCATGTCATTTGTGAGTGACCCAAAAGTGGGTTCATCTCGACGTTTCGCTACAATTGTATGTAGCTTCTTCAGGAGAACAAAAAAAGAAAGAGAGAAGAAAATAAAGAACAGGAAGATGGGTAGTTAGCAACGGTAACTCAGTTACTCAACGCAACCAGAGGCGAATACTAACTACCAAGATGGGCATTTGGTCACAGTAACTCAACTACTCAACGCAGCCAGAGGTGAAAACCAAATGCCAGGACAGGGATTCACGTCCAACAGCTCAGAACACTAACGCGTCGAGAGGCGGGGAGTGAATCCGACGATTACTCCGCTACCGCTCTATTTATAGTCGCGGTGCCTGTCAAAATTCTTCGCAAAGAAGGTATCAGGACTACTTTTCGACCACCCAAGAGAATCTCACAATATCTACCCTCTCCTAAGGACCCATTACCGCCCCTATCTTCCTGTGGTGTCTATTCTATTCCTTGTTCATGTTTCTCTCATGTTTCTCCCATTCTGCAGTTGCAGAACACTGCCAAGAAACCGGTCATTCCATATTGTTCGAAAAAACCCATATTATTTCTAAAAGCCCTTCTTTTATTCCAGGAAAATCCGTGAATCTCTAGAGATCCGAAAAAATCCCCATAATATCAATCGAGAGGAAGGATACTACTTGTCTCCCATCTGGAATCTCAGTCTAGAACCGCCGTCCGGTCCCGCCACTACGATGCAGCCACATGATTGGCCAGCGCGCGCTTCTTGACGTTCGCGCCACGAAGTGTGCCGATACGTCCCGACACGACAGGCACCGCGACTATAAATAGAGCGGTAGCGAAGTAATCGTCGGATTCACTCCCCGCCTCTCGACGCGTTAGTGTTCTGAGCTGTTGGACGTGAATCCCTGTCCTGGCATTTGGTTTTCACCTCTGGCTGCGTTGAGTAGTTGAGTTACTGTGACCAAATGCCCATCTTGGTAGTTAGTATTCGCCTCTGGTTGCGTTGAGTAACTGAGTTACCGTTGCTAACTACCCATCTTCCTGTTCTTTATTTTCTTCTCTCTTTCTTTTTTGTTCTCCTGAAGAAGCTACATACAATTGTAGCGAAACGTCGAGATGAACCCACTTTTGGGTCACTCACAAATGACACGGTCCAAACCCGGAAGACGAATAAACTATAATTCTGACTCTGGCCGTGGAAGCCTACGATTTCATTTGACCAACCTCTACGGGGAGGTTATATTCCGCAAAACCTCAGAGTTCTCCAATCTTCGCTCTAAAGTTTCATCTCTACTTTCTTCGCTCACCTTCCTCTCTAGATGTCGTGATAACAACTTGGTTCCCAATTTTCTTGTTCTAAAACATCACATTTCCTCTTCATCTTCTTCCCGAATTCTACATCGAGCCAGCCTATCTCTACTTCGTGAACGGATTCAACATATTCGAAAAACCCTTAATTTTCAATCCCAAAAACTTTTTAAGCTGCATCTTGAACTCTCCAGTATTCTTAGTGTCGATGATTGGTCACTTTTAGACCGTATTTCCTATCATCAAGCCGATAAAATCCTTCTTCTAAGCAACGAAACTCACAAAAAGAAATTCCAATCCCTTGTATCTAAGAAGAAAAAATCACATTCCACCACTTCTACTTCTCATTCACCTCTCACTAACACCGTCGTTAATCTTTCTTCTCACCAATTAACAAGTGCAGAAAGCAGTCTTCTATCTAAAGGTCTTAATTTTGCTATCACTCCTTCCAGAATTCCTACCGAAGAAATAGTTTCAAATGTGGAAGCGGCACTCCGCACAATTCCCAAAATTCCAGCCGACCGTATCCGCTTTGACGTCACTAAATGTCTTGATACAGCCAAAATCCCTACTTCCAATATATCTCGTGAGGAATTCATAGCTCTCAAAAATCTCCGTTCTCTTTCTGAGATAATAATCCTTCCTGCAGACAAAGGTAATGCCACAGTCATCCTGGATACTCCTTCCTACATAGAGAAAGTAAACGACTTACTTAGGGATACATCCTGTTATAATACAATTTCTCGAGACCCCACTCCTAGAGTCGAACGCGAAATTGCCCATGTCATCAAACAATCCGATCTTTCCGATGATATTAAGAAGTCCATAGTTCCGAAAAACTCCATCTGCCCCAGAATTTATGGTCTTCCCAAAATCCATAAAGATAACGTACCTCTTCGTCCCATTGTGACTACGATTAACTCTCCTACCTACAAACTCGCAAAGTACTTGTCGAATCAGTTTAAGACCTATACTGGTCGCACCTCTTCTTATGTCCGAAATTCCACACATTTCATCACCTTAATCTCCTCTCTCACAGTCGATCCCCAAGACATTCTCGTCAGTTTCGATGTATCATCCCTATTTACCAATATCCCCATACATGACTCTCTAGTCGTTCTGCGAGATCACTTGACCAATGATAACAAGTCTTTGGTTTTGGCAGATCTTGCGGAAAAATGCCTCCTTTCAACATATTTTTCTTTTAGAGGCAATTTCTACAAACAAATATCTGGAACACCAATGGGTTCTCCCCTTTCCCCTGTCATTGCTGACATTTTCATGGAAGCCTTTGAGTCTTTAGCCCTAGAATCTTACCCCTTAAAACCAAAAGTCTGGTTCCGCTACGTTGATGATACATTTATCATCTGGCTTCATGGTCAACATACCCTTTCTCCCTTCCTAGATCATCTTAACTCACAACATCCGAGTATAAAATTCACAATGGAAGTAGAAAATAATCGGTCCCTTCCCTTTCTCGATGTGTTAGTCACCTCCAAGCCCAATGGCCGATTGGGTCACTCTGTTTATAGAAAAAAGACTCACACGAATCGTTACCTACATGCTTCATCACACCACCATCCTGCCCAAAAGAATTCTGTGATCAACTCTCTCATCCATCGGGCCATTTCGATTTCTGAACCCGACAACCTTAGAGAAGAACTTGGCCATCTGCAAAAAACCCTTGTCGCCAACGGTTACTCCAAGTCCACAATTCAAAATATTACACACCGACATCTACATCCCCCTTTCCACCCTAGGACGACAAATTCAGAATCTTCGGGTAATACTCCTGTGGCTTTTCTTCCGTATATTCGAAATGTCACTGATAGGATTGGCAAAATTCTTCGCAAAGAAGGTATCAGGACTACTTTTCGACCACCCAAGAGAATCTCACAATATCTACCCTCTCCTAAGGACCCATTACCGCCCCTATCTTCCTGTGGTGTCTATTCTATTCCTTGTTCATGTGGACATGTGTATATTGGCGAAACTGGTCGTTCCGTCAAAACTCGGATTCAAGAGCATCAAAGATGCATTCGATCAGGTCTTTTCTCCCATTCTGCAGTTGCAGAACACTGCCAAGAAACCGGTCATTCCATATTGTTCGAAAAAACCCATATTATTTCTAAAAGCCCCTTCTTTTATTCCAGGAAAATCCGTGAATCTCTAGAGATCCGAAAAAATCCCCATAATATCAATCGAGAGGAAGGATACTACTTGTCTCCCATCTGGAATCTCAGTCTAGAACCGCCGTCCGGTCCCGCCACTACGATGCAGCCACATGATTGGCCAGCGCGCGCTTCTTGACGTTCGCGCCACGAAGTGTGCCGATACGTCCCGACACGACAGGCACCGCGACTATAAATAGAGCGGTAGCGGAGTAATCGTCGGATTCACTCCCCGCCTCTCGACGCGTTAGTGTTCTGAGCTGTTGGACGTGAATCCCTGTCCTGGCATTTGGTTTTCACCTCTGGCTGCGTTGAGTAGTTGAGTTACTGTGACCAAATGCCCATCTTAGTAGTTAGTATTCGCCTCTGGTTGCGTTGAGTAACTGAGTTACCGTTGCTAACTACCCATCTTCCTGTTCTTTATTTTCTTCTCTCTTTCTTTTTTTGTTCTCCTGAAGAAGCTACATACAATTGTAGCGAAACGTCGAGATGAACCCACTTTTGGGTCACTCACAAATGACACGGTCCAAACCCGGAAGACGAATAAACTATAAAGGATTGTATCGTTTAACTAAAGATATAGCAAGAGATATATTAAATGAAATCATGCAAAATATGGTTATCCATAATAAACTGGTGGCAGTTCCAGTTGCAAGAAAGTTTTTTGGTACCCTCCAAATTTCTTGCTACTGGTAGCTATCAAAAAACTATACTGCAAAATTTACAGGTTGCAGTGTCTCAACAAATAATGTCTAGGGCAATTTTTTAAATAATTGAAGCCATTTTTAATAATTCAATTTTAAGAGAGCTAAAAGTTAGCCAACGACTCTCTAGTCCATCTCCAACAATTAAAATATTTTGGGCATGTTATGAGAGCAAACACAGAAAACATGGAAAGACTAATAATACAAGGAAATGTAGAAGGCCGAAGATCACGAGGAAGATCCCCAACAAGATGGATAGATTAAATTACAGAAATATGCCAAAGACCTATGCAAGAATTAAAAGAAATGACCAGAGACAGTGATCTCTGGAGACGGACAATACACGACATCACGTCGACCACTACACTCCCCCTGTGGGGTCAGGATTGAAGATATATATATATATATATATATATATATATATATATATATATATATAGTCATATAAGATCTAAATATAGCTTATTCCGGTTAATTAATTAGGGAAAAATCAAAGGAAAACGACGAGTTGGAAGAAAACAACAGTCGTAGCTGCATAACATTGGGCAATGGACAGGCGCAACGTCTAAGGAATTGTTTCTAGCTGCCGACCAAGAAAAAATTTATCAGCTTGTTAATAAGGCAAAAATCAATGGTTGAAAACAGGCCTGGCAAACAAAGAAGAGTTGCTTATTTTAAGTTGTCAGCAAATCTGGCAGATGTGATGTTGTGTTTATCCATTTTGTAAAAAAACATTCAATAATCTTAAATATAAATAATGTATATTTAATTTCAAAATTAAACAAAGATAACAAAAATATCAAACATGAACCAACTTATTTTAAACCTTTTGTCTTATTTTGTTTTAATTTATTAGTTTTATCTTTTAAGTCAATTTTTTCTACTCCTTTCGGAATCAAGTGACTAACATTTTTATGTTCTTTATCAACACCCCAAGCGGGCATCTTTACTTTCGCTGTATAATCTCTGTATATATCACAATACACTTCTTCAGTCGGCACGTCAGCCGCTGCCATTGCTTTTTTTAATGCTTCGTCTACTTCAAGTTTAACTTCTTTTTCAATCTTCTTCAGTTCTTCTTCGGTTACTGCTTCTGCCGATAATAACTTATCTTGGAAGCCTTTGATGCAGTCTTGAGTTTCCCTCACTTGACGAACTTCCTCCCTGCTTCTGTAGGTAGTGCCTGGATCTGACATCGAATGGCCATAGTATCTTAAAAAAGAAAAAAATTGTTTAATGTTTAATTTATATTAACTTTTATAATATAATATCGTAAAATCACTTGAATATAGTAGTCAAAACCGTATACTAAAACCCCTTCCTTGTAACCTGTAAACCGTATACTAAAACCCCTTTATGTGAAAACTGTAATATCCCACATAAGTTTTAAGCATGTACTTGCAGAGTGCCCAAGATACCAGTTGCAGAGACAGAACAACCACATCATCGGATCAACAAGTGAAATCTTAGGAGAAAATTGTAAAATTGAACATATGATAAAATTCCTTAAAGATATCAATGTATTTAACAAAATCTAACATTTATTGTAAATAAATTATCTTATGTATATGTATTTAATATGTCGCTAATAACCTCAGAGGTTGATGCGACTATTTTGTAAAATAAAAAAAAATGTATAGAAGGTATTGCAGGACATGCAGGAAATGGGACTTACGACCAGATAGAAATAAGTCTGACAGAAGTCAAGAGACCAATCAACATATTGAAGAACAAAAAAGCCAAAAGAACACGGAGGGATACCAAACGAACTAATTAAAAACGGAACGGAAAAGTTATTCCGCATGCTACACAGAATGTTCGAAAGAGGACTAAATGGAGAGGAAATACCTGCGGAACGGACACTAGCATACATCACATCCATACATAAGAAAGGAAACAGGAAAAAATGTGAAAATTACAGAGGAATTAGTATAATATCGTCGGTAGGTAGACTTTACGGGAAAATTATCAAGGAAACACTAAAAACTGAAATAATAGGAAAAATTGGAGAAGACCAAGCAGGGTTCACAGTAGGAAAATCATGCCTAGATCATACGTATACATTGGAACAACTGATAGAGAAGAAAATGGCAAAAGGTTGACCGGTCCATCTGGCGTTTGTTGATCTAAAGAAAGCATACGACTCAATACCTAAAGTCAAATTATGGGAAGCAATGAATGATCTCGGAATCCGACAAACAATACTAAAAGCAGTTAAAGCACTGTACAAAGAAAACAAAGTAGCTATTAAATGTGGAAATAAAGCCTACAATCCATTTAAGATGACAAAATGACTTCTACAAGGCTGTGCTACGTCCCCCGCTCTGTTTAAAATATTCTTGAAAAAGACACTCAAACCATGGAGGAGAAAGTGCGAAGGAATGGGCATGCCAGTAAGAGACGAATACCTATACACTTTAAGTTTTGCCGACGATCAAGTACTCATCGCACAAGATAAAGAAGATCTCAGCTTTATGCTCAGAAAACTAGAAGGGGAATATAAAAACAACGGAATGAAAATAAACTTAGAGAAAACCGAATACCTAACAACAGAAAACAAGGATATGAGAAACCTAGAGATAGACGAGGGAAGACAAGTAAATGGAACAGATAAATTCAAGTATTTAGGAACCATAATATCGAACCAGGGAACAACAGAAGAAGATATAAACAACAGACTAAGACAAACAAGAAACTGTATAAGACAACTAAATTCAGTGCTGTGGGATAAGAACATTACGATAAAGACAAAAAAGAGAATACATAATACCCTGACAAGAAGTATCCTGACATATGGGTCCGAAAACTGGACAATAAACAAGACTAAAGAAAATGCAAAAAAGTATTTTTGAAGTGTGTATATTTTATGCCATTCCTAGCTGAGCGCTTTCGGCTTTACAAAGCCATCATCAGAGCTATGCTACAATAAAATGTTCTAATAAGTAATAATTGGTAAAGATTGTAATTTTTAACTTACGTCAATTTTTTTAAATACCACTACAAAGGAGAGATCTCATTTCCTTAAATTTCAAAAATATGATTTTGTAGGAGTTGGAATTATTAAAACATATAAAAAACATATAAAAAGTCGACACTGGACTTCACAAACACGTTAAAAAATTGAAAAAATTTTTGTCATGGTACGGGTTTAAAACCCGACCATTGATTGATGTGAGGACGTAGACTGAATAGAACTAGTGAAATCAAATGTCGGTCCTTTTAAACGATTTTTCAAAAGTGACAGGTGACAAATGTCATATATAGGAAATAGAGATTGTTTTTTTTAATTCTTACAAAAATATTTAGTAGTTTGGAATTACTACTAGTCATCAAAGACTTTCTAAAAATTAAGTTTTTAAAAATTATATGTGTTCATCACATCATACAGAATGACATTAATTTGTAAATTCACTCGAGTCGTTGCTCAAGGTCAATGTATGTTCAATCTGACAGCTATCCTTAAGGAACAAGGGCTCAAATTGTTCAACAACACTATAAAGAAGAAACCTGGTATTAATGTTATGTTATCTGATACTTAAGTGTATTAAGAATTGTATGTCTTGATAGAAAATTGTAAGAACTTTGCATAAAAAATTTTTTTAAGAATGTATTTCCATGTTTCAATTAAGAACAACTGTCAAATGAATTACAAAATGTTGTAAATTTTAATAAAGTTTAAAATTTGCTAAAAATATAAAAGTATGAAAAATATATAACAAGATTGCATGAGGTCACCCTTCTTCCTCTAAAGTTTCCCATAATAATTTAAAAAGAGGTTTATAGTTGCAATTGAGGTTGATTTGTGTGTTTAAGCAACAATCAGGGTTTATTTTCATTTCTTTGGATATCTCTAGATCTTCTAAGAGATTCATGAGTCTAAAGTTTTTATTGGGAATGTTGTGTAAAATTTTACTGTTTTCAGAAGGAGAAAAAGAATGATTATTAAATTTAATGTGATATCCAAAGTTTGATTTTTCTGGGTTATTGAGGTGTTCTTTGATTCTTTGATTCAGAGTTCTCATTGTTCTACCTACATAAGTCATATTACAGTCACCACAGGACAGCTTGTAAATACCACTTCTGTTTAGTTTGTCAACTTTGTCTTTGGTCTTGCTGAAGATGGACTTGATGTTATATTTGGTTTTAAAGGAGATGTTTAAGTCATTAATTTTATTAACAAGTACTCTTGAAATTTTTTCTGAAATTGGTCCTAAGTAAGTTAAGGATCTATATATGGAAGTAGTGTTGGATTTGTTATCAACATTAAAAGCTTGGTTTTGTCTCTTTTTGAGTATAGATTTTCTAATGTTAATGTTAATAACAAATCCAACACTACTTCCATATATAGATCCTTAACTTACTTAGGACCAATTTCAGAAAAAATTTCAAGAGTACTTGTTAATAAAATTAATGACTTAAACATCTCCTTTAAAACCAAATATAACATCAAGTCCATCTTCAGCAAGACCAAAGACAAAGTTGACAAACTAAACAGAAGTGGTATTTACAAGCTGTCCTGTGGTGACTGTAATATGACTTATGTAGGTAGAACAATGAGAACTCTGAATCAAAGAATCAAAGAACACCTCAATAACCCAGAAAAATCAAACTTTGGATATCACATTAAATTTAATAATCATTCTTTTTCTCCTTCTGAAAACAGTAAAATTTTACACAACATTCCCAATAAAAACTTTAGACTCATGAATCTCTTAGAAGATCTAGAGATATCCAAAGAAATGAAAATAAACCCTGATTGTTGCTTAAACACACAAATCAACCTCAATTGCAACTATAAACCTCTTTTTAAATTATTATGGGAAACTTTAGAGGAAGAAGGGTGACCTCATGCAATCTTGTTATATATTTTTCATACTTTTATATTTTTAGCAAATTTTAAACTTTATTAAAATTTACAACATTTTGTAATTCATTTGACAGTTGTTCTTAATTGAAACATGGAAATACATTCTTAAAAAAATTTTTTATGCAAAGTTCTTACAATTTTCTATCAAGACATACAATTCTTAATACACTTAAGTATCAGATAACATAACATTAATACCAGGTTTCTTCTTTATAGTGTTGTTGAACAATTTGAGCCCTTGTTCCTTAAGGATAGCTGTCAGATTGAACATACATTGACCTTGAGCAACGACTCGAGTGAATTTACAAATTAATGTCATTCTGTATGATGTGATGAACACATATAATTTTTAAAAACTTAATTTTTAGAAAGTCTTTGATGACTAGTAGTAATTCCAAACTACTAAATATTTTTGTAAGAATTAAAAAAACAATCTCTATTTCCTATATATGACATTTGTCACCTGTCACTTTTGAAAAATCATTTAAAAGGACCGACATTTGATTTCACTAGTTCTATTCAGTCTACGTCCTCACATCAATCAATGGTCGGGTTTTAAACCCGTACCATGACAAAAATTTTTTCAATTTTTTAACGTGTTTGTGAAGTCCAGTGTCGACTTTTTATATGTTTTTTATATGTTTTAATAATTCCAACTCCTACAAAATCATATTTTTGAAATTTAAGGAAATGAGATCTCTCCTTTGTAGTGGTATTTAAAAAAATTGACGTAAGTTAAAAATTACAATCTTTACCAATTATTACTTATTAGAACATTTTATTGTAGCATAGCTCTGATGATGGCTTTGTAAAGCCGAAAGCGCTCAGCTAGGAATTGCATAAAATATACACACTTCAAAAATACTTTTTTGCATTTTCTTTAGACTTGTCATAAGTGTGTACAAAAAAATATCAGTCTTTTGATTTTTCAATAAACAAGAGAAATAGAGGTAGAATAAGAGCAGTAGAAATGGAGTTCCTGAGGAGAAGCTGTAGACTTACAAAAAAGACAGAATTGAAAACGCAGAGATCAAGCGGAGAATGGGAGTGCAATCAGACATAATCGACTATATAGAGGAGAAGAGACTATCCTGGTACGGCCACGTCAGAAGAGCGGACAGAGGACGCTGAATAAACAAAATCACAGAATGGAGCCGGATAGGAGGAAGAAAGAGAGGAAGACTCCGAAGGTCATTCAGAGACGAAATCGACGAGGCTATGGAGAAAAGAACCCTGCGAGATGGAGACTGGAATGACAGGGAAAATTTAAGAAAACGGTTGAGTGAAGGAAGACAGTGAAAACTGTGGAAATCCTTTGTAGTAGCAGTAGGTATTGTCAAATCTTTTCTTTATATTCAGAATTGCATCCAGCATTACTTCTTGGTTTCCAGAACACGAACTTCACCCCTTGCACAAATTAGTGAAGGTACTGCCGTTTTCCTAAAGAGTTTCCTGAAGATTTGATCTCTTTACTCTTCAAAATTTATTTTGTTTTTTGTTATGTTATTTAGATTTTCAAGATATATTGTTTTAATAATACTTACCTGTATGTATCAAGTTGTAAAATAATCGGTCCCAGTCCTTTATTGATATGATCTATAGCAAACTTGCCTGCTTCTCTAACAGCTAATACATCCATGCCTCCAGCTCTGACACCAGGAACCATGTCAGCTCTCGTATAATATTCTGTATTAGCTGAGTGTCGTTCCCTTGATGTACCCATACTATAGTTGTTATTTTCGATTATAAATACAACTGGTAGGTTATGAAGTTTTGCGAAATTGTAGGCTTCGTACACTTGACCCTGATCAGCAGCTCCGTCACCGTATACTGCAATATAAATATACAGTGTGTCCATTTAAGTTCGCACCATATGGGAAACTTTCTTAATATTAGTTTTACGAAAAAAAGTTATTCTTTATAAAAAGTTCTGCATGGTGTAAAAACTAAAATACAACCATCAGATATTAAAATTTTTCAGTCGTATACGAGGTATGTTCAAAAATATGAATTTTACCAAGAGCAAAGTACCTCAATTTTTTATAATTTCGAAAATTGTTATCAAGAAAATTTATTTAGAAGTCTACAACATGTTCAAATATATAGCCATGTATACAAAATGTTTAAAATGGAGATTTTCTACATTTTGCTATTGCATGTCTACCCTACAACAGTAATAAATGCATAAGTACATTTTTAATCAAGTTGCCACGATATTTACATATCTGACATTAAACGTAAAATACATATTTGACAGTTACAATAAATTCTAATTAAGGTTGATCTTCACCCACAATTAATTTGTCTCTGATCCTAGAGATGGCTCTACTGCGGCATGCTAATCTGGTAAATTTTTTAACTTAATTGTAGATTTCTACATGATGACTCTGTAATATTTTCAAACCCTAATATAAATTACAGTTTTCTATCATTATATCCATTGACTGAGTTGCCAAATTGTGTAGACAGTAATTTTATCAAATACGCTATAACTTTTACGCTTACTAGTAGACCGAGTTAGCAAAGATATCTTTAACAACATCTTTATGTATAATATTTTACTGTTCTGCTGTGTCAAAATAAACAAAGTTACGGTTTTGCAGGAACACAAGGTCTCATTCACACATATTATTGAAAAATGATCTATATTTATTATCTAAACATTTTTATCGCCAAAGAGGTACTTAGTATCGTATTACCATTAAATTTATACATGCATTCATATATTATTTTTTTGTTGATAGTTAAAAATTAAATTATCTGGTAATATTAAATATTTTAGTGCGAATTATATGAAAAATGGTTAACCGTCTAAAACATGCGAACATGTCTTCTTTTTATTACTGGTTTCACGTTTGTTATCTTCCTAATTAATGCGTCTTCTTCTCTTATTTGTATGTGCTCAAATTATCTCAGTCTTTGTGGATCAATAAATTTTACTATCTCTTCCCCTTTCTATCTTTTATTTCATGCTTCATTAGTCTTCTATATTCTCCGTGTTCAGGCCTTATTGGGCTGTTTATTCTTATAATTTTGCTTTTAATAATTCTTACTTTTTCTTTATCTTTTTTCGTAAGACATATTACTTTCGCTCCGTATGCTATCACTGGTCTAATTCCTGCTCTATATATTTTTGTCTTTGTTTTTTTACTATCTTTAAGTAGTGGGTGATATTTCCAAATTACAACGTTCTTCTCTTGCCTTGTGTGCGTGGTAGTGTCATGCGTTAGATGTATGATTTGGGGTGGTTGATACGTATTTAGTTATCACGGTTATATTTGATCTAATTAGTTCTTCAGTTTCCGTATTCGACCACTTTATAAAGCCAAATGTGATAAGTGGTATTGCGTATGTGTTTATTGCTTTTACTATGTGCTTTTAATTAAGTTTGCTTTGGAGTATTATTATTATTATTATTATTCAGATTTAGCCATACGGCCCACACTCCCTCTAAGGGGAAAATTCACTCATCCCAGATACCTACGATATCAAAAGGATTGAGCTCTGGTGGGACTATTTCCATGTTATCGAGTCCTAGGTGACTTGGTACGTCGGTGTATCTCCTAAAAATTTTCGCACGCATCTGGACGTCGAAAGTAGCACAGCTTTCTGCATGACCTTTTATAGATGTTCATTTAGACCCAGCTTTTTTATGTTTTCTAGGAGGTTCTTCGGAATGACTCCAGTGGTAGAAAGAATAATAGGTATCGTCTGGGTACTTTCCATTCTCCATTGTCTTTTTATTTGTATTTCCAGATCTCTGTACTTGGCGATCTTTTCGTTGTACTTAACACTCAGATTATTATTGTTAGGTATCGCCACATCGATTAGAGTTGTTTGTCTTGTTATTTTATTAACTAGCACGAGATCACATACACCCGCTCCTACACGATGGCAGCCTGAGGTACCCAAGCCCCAATGGCCACAGCCTTTCTTTAGGCAAAATCAAATGCCTTTGCAACAACAGCCATTCAACAATAGTCCAAGAGTGACATTTCAACCCCCTAGATTCCAACAAAATCAACAAATCACTTAATATGTACAAAATTCTACAACTAACCAACCCAATTTTCATAAACCATATCCATCTCAATCATATAAGCCAATACCTATTAGCGTATTTAGACGCCAAACCGGCAATAGACCCCAATCTCAAAGAAACTTCCGCTTTTAAAAGACAGCCAGGCCCCGATTCACGGTAGAAAAGCTCTTTAATATCGAACAACAAGAGCAATTATGACGAAGGTATATAGACACATACCCAGATTACTCTTACTATGAACAAAAAATTCATAAATATGAGGACAAAGATGTAAATTTTCAAAGATTTCAAAAAGAAAAAGAAGAAACTTAGTAGAATTGCATTCCTTTGCTGACAAAAGAGAGTTTCATTACATTAAAATTCAAAATCTCCCTCTTAAACTTCTTATTGTTACAAGAGCCACTAAATCTTGAGCCACTCTTAATCCTGATATAACAAATAAATTCCCCAAAAATAATATTAAATATGTACCAGTTGCTACATCAATTTTTTTGAATCATTCAGAAGGTTATTGTGTAGAAATTCCAATTTTTTCCGAATTTAACTCAAATATTAACTTAAAATTTTATATTTGCAAAGCTTACAAGATATTTGATGGTCTTAATCTTAAGGCTTCTTAAAGCAAATCTCGATTCTACCCAAGCTACTCTTACTACAGCGCATTCTATTCTTCCTATTAATTACTATGCCACAAATAAAGCCCAATTCTATATAGTCCACCAAGAGCCCTAAAGAATTATACAAGTCAAATTTACAGTAAAAGAAACATCAGGTAAAATCGTCATCCAAAAACAAGAAGTCGAAGGTGCCATCCTAAGAGAAATTCTCACCGTCGTCGCATATAATCAACTTGCCTGGACCGAGCTAGTCAATAACACCGATGAATATATTCAAGTAGCAATAACGGATCCCATCAAAAGTCAACCAATAAATCTAAGAGATGTCGATCCTTTCCTAAGAACCCATCATTTTAATACAATAGAAGAATATTACCGAAAACGACAGTACAGGAAGTTTGCATCATGCATATTTCATTATTCAGACGTCAGTTAACATTTACTAATCAAATAAAACATCATATACGAACAAGAGATGAAGTTCCGGTTTACACCAAGTCAAATCGGTATCCACACATCCATAAGGATGATCGATCAAGAAATCATCAAACTGAGACAATTGCCCTGGTCGTCCCCAATGTGGGTCATTCCAAAGCAACCAGATGCCCAAGAAAAATTAAATGGAGAATAGATGTCGACTACAGGAAGGTGAACAAGAAAACCATCGATGGTCTATACCCAATTCCAAATATAACAGACATTCTGGACAAACTAGGTCGCTGCAAATATTTTTCTACCCAGTTGTAGCCAGCGGATTACATCAAATTAAAATGAAGGAAGAAGATATTTGGAAGACTGCATAACTTAAGGGAACTTAACTGGAAGAGTTAACGTTGAAAATGGCCACTATGAATGCCTGAGAATGCCATTCGGACTCAAAAATGCACCCTCAACATTTTAGAGAGTGGAGAACATAATAAAAAAAAAACAGGCGAAATATATCTATTCTACAGGGACATTTTCAACCTCACTTTAAGAACATATGGTAAATCTTAAGAAGATTTTTGAGAAATTAAGAGAAACAAGATTTAAAATACAAGTTGACAAAAGTTAATTACTTAAGAATAACTAATGCTTATATTATAATATAAAAATTATCACTAATACGTTATGCAAGCAAGACTATTGTTTATAAATACTAAAATAATTAACTAAAAACGCCTAAATAGGTTTTTAGAAACTAAATACGTTTTTTATAGATATATTACTTGTAGATGGAATAGTACAGTATCTACTATTCTGTAAGTTCTAGCATGCCAAATAAAATTCATTCAAACCGATAACATTCTTATTAAATCTTGTTGTAATTTGTCAAAGTGTTGTACAAAATAATTGATATGGCAACCCTGCTAGTATGACGATTCGCTTGAAGCGTTTCGAGGCCGAAAGTAATGCAATCTATCGATGATAAATACTACCAACGTTTGAGATGGAGCCACCTCTCTAGTATACAATTTGATGCCGGCAATTCAAGATATAATTATTGTTTAACGAGATTTTTCATATGTTTAGGAAAAAATATTCAACGTTTTATTGCAAATATATTCCACTTTTACAGTTTTATATATGTTGTTATTAAAATTTTTTCCGGTTTCTTACCGGTAGCTTTATTATAAGCCGGAACATAACATTTTTTCCCGTAGTGACAAAACTGTAAATTCAAAAATTTTCAAAAAATTCATAAGTATTTCTTAAGGTTATATCTTTATGCTGTAAAAAAATTATCAAAATTGTATGTCTGGTTTTCCCGCTTTATACTTGGAAAAAAGTAGTTTTTTAGAGTTTTTTCGAAAACGAAAACATGAAGTTTGTTCAAACTTTGTCAAAATACTTTTAATTGTCACATATACCTTCTCAATTTTTTTCAAATTTTTTGAATTTGTAGTTTATTTTTTGGGGGGTGCAGATCAACCTTAAAGATGCCGGTGGTATTGAATTTAGAAGAAAAAATAGAAATTGTGCTAATTGTGGGTGATAATTATAAAACGTATCGGGAAGCAGCTGAAATATTTAATAACAGACATCCAGGAAGAAATATACAACATACAACAGTTATGAGACTTATGGTAAAATTCAAAGTATACGGAGATGTTAAAAATAAATTCAGCAACAAACGTGAAAAACGCGTTGCAAATGAGGCGACGAAATTAGATGTAATGTTATCTACAGTG